CAGAAAATTCATTTGATGCGTGAGATTGCTGAAAGGAATTGATATTCTGTAATGCACTTAGACGTTGGGTTTTGTTGCACCACGAAGTCGTCATTGGCACATTGGATAGGCTGTCATCCTGTGCTGGAAGAGGTTTCTCGTCGGCGACACCGGCAGGCCCAGCACACGTCCCATCACCTTTTAACTCGCGTACTCACAGTTCGGTTTCGCTCGTGGCCGCCGGTGCATATACATGTACAAAATGTACAAAAACAGCCACATACGCAGGGCCTGGGGAACGACTCCAGCGCGGCGGCAGAGAGGGGTATCTACAATTGCTCAATTGCCGCGACCCCTGACCCTAGTCTTTTTCCAGGCGTTTGCTACAGTTTTTGCATTCTGCGCACATATGATTGTGTACGCCAAGGGATATATAATACCACCTGTTTCAGGAGAGTAATATTTCATTTTTTTAATTGCTTTGACATCCGTCGCGACTTGCTGATAGATTACATAAATACATTAAACCCACAATCACATCAAATATTAATATACGATTTATTGCATGACGTATGTAAACAAAAGTTAGATTTGAAAATAAGCAAAACGCTAACCTGAACACAGAGACTACAGACAACCACGAAATTTAAGGCATGAAACAGAACAAAAGGGCGGATAAGCTGACCTACCGGATTTAGAACTGAAAAGAAAAATGCCTTCATTTCGGAAAAAAAAAATCGGAAATTGGGCAAGAAATGAAACTTCATTGGAACTTTGTAGCGTGCGACAAGCGTTGTCATTAAAACTAAACTTTATCAAGTCCTCGAAATTACCAATTTTTTGTGGTCTGGAAGAGTAGCCTTGCTGGTGAACCACGCAGCAGTTCTTTTGTTTCTATAGTTACCAAATATCTAGTCACATGATAAACAACATGGATTACACAACGGGCAAAAAAGAACAGACCCAATACGATTTGTGAGGTGTGAACGGTACTTACGGTACATTTACGAGTCCATGCAGTCTCTCGACTGTTATCACTATCTCCAACTTGTGAGTAGAGCCAATGTATAAAACGCCGACCAACAAAAACATGACCGCCTTGTCGCCCGAGCCTGAAGCTCTGCGCCGCTGGCACGCGTGGCTGGCCGCGGTGCGGTTGGCGGCGGCCCGAACTTCGCTGCAACGTTAACTGATTGATTTCATTCTTCACATGTTGCAGTGTAAGTCACTCAGATTATAAGCCACTGGGACATTTTTGGCGTGGGGACCAATGTATGAGCCGTTGCTTATCTTACGAAAATTACGGTATTTAAAAAAAAATATTTGTAAAAACACATTCCACAAAGGAGCAAACTCACAAGCGGGGCGGGGGAGGGGGTGTAGTTCAAACCCCCAGCCTATCGTTGTTTTGTTGTGTTTTTAGTTTGTTGGGGTGTTTGTTAAAAGAAAAAATTAAAGTATTTTAATTCCCTCCGACTTGAAGACCATCATTTTGTCTTGAGATCATAGAAATACTTTGGTTTTATTCTGTCCTCTAAAATTTGTATTCCAAAATCAGGGCACCAACTTAAAAACAAAAATCGCTACAGATAAAGTGAAATAACGCATTTCATACAACCAAGGTAATTTTCTGACCAAACACTAGCAATGACAGAATGCATTATTGACTGCATTAACGGTGGCCTTATGCACGTCGCAAGAAAGGTGGACCGCACCGAACCAGGACCGACTTGATCCCAAGTCTATTTTGGTACCCACGATGGCGCAGCAAGCCTTGGCGCAGTGCCAGGATCCATTAGGGTTTGCAGTGTGTGTAGATCCACGATGTGTGGGCACTTTTTATACAGTAGATCGTTCGGAAAATGTGGCTTTTTTGTGTGGGTGTGTGTGTAGAAAGAACAACTTTTGTTTTCCGAAACTTGTACCTTGGAGGGGAAGCCGACCGTGGTTATGTTCTCTTAAGTGAAGTTTATGCAGCCCGTTTTGATCGTTTTTGTTTTGAATGTACGTTTAACCGTATGGTATTTTATTCCATGGTCGAGGAAAATGTCCCAGCGGAATATAAAATGCGATCTATTATATGATCGAAGCCGTGGTTGTGTTGTGTGTGGTTTTAAGCCATCATCAGTGGGCCAGACTAACGACATTCTACACGGGCAGGACTTGTGAGCGTTCCAAGTTGGGTGATGGGAGTACTTTCACGGGTCAGTGAACAGTGACTGCGGGGTACTGCTGCAGTCTTNATTCTTCCTTCGAGCGCTCTTCGTGCGCCCATAGTGTGTCCGTCGTGTAAGAACGAGCAAATGTCGAGCGAGATAGGGCGAGTGCCGGCGCTCGTAACACGCACGACCTCCCTCGAACTCGAAAGGGTACTTACTTGAGATCACTGCTGTATGTAACACAGATAAAACTGTTTCAGTGGTATCTATGATCATGGTATAACAAAACAACTGTTGCCTGCAGTGATGGAGTCCATAGGGTTTGTACTCCCTCTGGGCAAATGAGACCCTTGGCTACACCTCAAGTGCCATCTCCCCCGAGGTGTACAAAACACCGTGGACCCTTACACAGTGGGCAGCAATTGTTAAGTGTATTGGCATTTTGGCTGGTAACCTGTTTCGTGTGAAGCAAGTGTTTCTGCTACGGTAAGTAGGGGGCTGTGTTGAAAAACTCCATTGAATTGGTACCATAATGGTGCATGCAGACAACCATGCTCTTTGTTTTCTTTTTCCCTGATACAACGGTATCAAGGGTATACACATTGCTTTATTGTAAAAATTTCTGGTTTTGTTGTTGTGCATAACCAGTGGTTGCTTTATATTCAAAATGTAAATGTCTGATCTGTTTCTTTGCAGCACGTAAGATTATATACCTATTCCCTATACAAGCCAAGACATTTAATGACGTGTATGATGGATACGATGTCATAGCGCAAGCAAGTAAGTATTTACTTAGTTACGTTATTTACTTAGTTACGTTGAAAATTAGGCTTTGAAAGAGGTGAAGCGTCCTTGACCTTTGCTCACAAAATTACTCACTGTAGTCATGAGTTGCTAACTTTCAATTTGCTATAACAAACCACTCAAGTCAACACTCTCCGTGTGAGCGTTCAGGAACACAAGATGTTGGCATCATATAGTAATGTTGACAAGGGAAATTAAGATGATGTTTTGCTTGTTAGGTTAGACTCATAAATAAATGCTGCACTGCGACACGACAGTGGTTCTTGCAATTTTCCAATTTACTTTGACTCCAACCCTGAAGATTATTCACAATTAGAAAGTAGGATTCATCCACTGTTACTGTACATGGAGTTACTTTACATACCCCTTGAAAATGTAGAATACAAAGAATGGAAAATGCTTACTTTGTTAGGATGCAGATTATATTCAAGCTCTGCTTTATTACAGGAACTGGTACGGGCAAGACACTATCCTTTGCTCTGCCCTTGGTGGAAAAATTGAAGGACATACCCCGCAAGAGTGGACGTCCACCTACCGTGATGGCACTCGCTCCCACAAGAGAACTAGCCAAGCAGGTAAAGAAACTGATAGAGTTTTCAGTGTTGGCATTCCCGCTACACATTAAGATGAAGTATGATGGGGGTTTTCCTTTGACATTGAACTTTTATATTGACATTTCTGAACTTTCAAGGTACACGTGTCTGCAAAGGAAGTTTTTCAATGCAAACCTCAAACTGCATCCTTGTGTCTCATTTCACCTCATTTTTTTTCTTTCTCTGTTTAAAAGGGTGTTTTGTTGTCTTGTCATTTTTTTGTGCTAATGAGAATGTGCGTATTTGTGAGCAAATCTGTGATGTCATACCAGGGAAAATCTCAATGTTATTATGATTGGTACACAAAAAACTCTTGCATTTTTAAAGGTTGTGCTGGCCTGATTTTTCTTTTCTTCGACATTTTTGATGAGTAATTTTGTCTATTAACCACTTGCTGCCGGGGGCTTTTTTTATCCGTTGCATGCGCTGCCGGGCGGTTTTTTCATATTTTCGTTTTTCAAAAATCTTAAAAAATTCATATCTTTTTTTCTGAATGCCCAAACCCCATAAAATGGTTGTCCCGTGGCGAGTCTAGCCCTCACAAGCAACTTCCATTGACCCTTCGGTTTCGCGGCCACGCCGCCCGCTCTGTATAGAGCCCCCATAGTGTGTGTTGCATAAGGGCTCGTTTGTTCCGGGCCTTGGCCCAGTGCGCTG